CAAAAGTGACTGTGGTGAGAGAGGTTTTTGAAGATTAATTTAGTTAAATAAATGCCACAGCACTTTAGCACTAGGTAAATAGCTAGCTGTAGTATATGAGGCAGATTCTAGGGTTATTTAGGATAACACTAGGCAAGTCACAGCATAACACTTTTGTAGCCTTGAAAACATTTCTACCAACATTAATAATCAAAATACTTCCATGATACAGATAAAACTAATGATCCAGACAAGCGTGTTTGTCCAGGCTTTTAGAAAGAACCAGTGTCAAGTTCTCATCTCTTAGTGATGTGCTCAGAGCCTGCTGCCAGCTTTTTTTTCTCTAGCAGAAGTTTGTTAATAGAGTCAAATACTGTTATAACCAACACCGATTTTAGACTGCATTGTAATAAAAGCCAAGATTTTTGCACCTATCAAAAATTACCCATGATAATGATTTTACCAACTTTCAAGCAAGGGGCAGAACATTGTGAGATATGCTGTGATAACATTTTCTCTGTTCATGTGTTTTTTAATGTCCAAGTATGTAGATGCAAGTCTGTCGAGGGCCTTGTTTAATAATTTTAAGCATCTGTACAGTAGAAATTGCCAAACAGCCAGAACTTTAAATTGGCCAAATAGCTCATGCCACTTATTATTTCTTTTTCCCGTAAGTTTCAGTTAGAGGTTTGTTAGAAATTATAAAAATATCCCAAGAAGCATCCAGTTCAACTGCCAATAAACTGTCCCAGTTGTCAACTGAAGTGAAGATTTTTTTTCTGGTCTGCTAGGTCAGCAGAGAAAAGTTTTCTTCTCCCTGTTTGTTTTTAGCTGTGTATGTCCATGGGACAGAACTGATGTTGTGAACATTTCTACACTAGTGTTTGCCTGCAGAAAAAGACAGAGCAGTTGAGTACGTCAGAAACAGGATTATTTTCTTCCCTTTGCAAGAAGGTTGTAGTCATTAAGTAATTGATGATTCAAGGAGTCCTGGCTGTCCTATTCCTGGTCAAAATATTACTTTATATGCAAGTGAATGTGTGATGATATGCACAGGTGAAGAAATTACAGAGCTGGATGAGATAAAGTTGAGTCTGATTATTGCTGCTGTGAGGAGCTGAAGACTGTTTTGGTATTACTTGTGAATTTTAGCGGGGGGGTATTAACAACGTTTTTCAGCCTGTTGTCTAGCCAGCATCTCTAGGCATAATTTGGGCCTTAGACTGATAGTTCTTTCCTCTCATACGTTCAACTCTGACCTTGTTCACAGTGAACCAAGGTGAAGCTGCAATCAATTGTGTGAAGAGGCAAAGCACACGCATTTGATTCTTATCTGTCTGTTCCCATGCAATAATGCTTGTAGTGTTGCTTGTCGTAAAATACATGTAATATTGGTAATTGCTGTGTTATCAGTTGCTAGGCAGTATTTGATGCTCCTTTGCTTCACACTACTCATGCTTTAATATTAAGATTCTGATTGCAGACATATGAATACAGTAGAAATTCAGAAGTTATCTTAGTGGATATGAAACTCAGAGTGTTGTGGGTGGCTGAACAGCTGCAGTGCTCCTCACTTTTTGAGGTAGTTGAGCTAAAACAATTTAAAATTAATTTATAATTTAAAACTCTTCTGTGTTTGTAGAGCACTTGGATGCCCAGATACACCCCACTTTCCATGTTGAGTTTTGAAGCCTGAATTTTTACTTAACTTGCACTAAACAGGAGTTTTTATTTTGACTCTAACAAATTAAATATTTCAGAAACATAGAAGCAAGACACAAAACTTGAGGTTACATGAGGTATTTTTTTCCCCCATAGTTGCTATGCCATTGTAGCTTGGTCTCTGACCTCTGCAGTTGCAGATCTGTGTCCTGGTTTGCAGGTGCTCTCTCTAACAGTGATTTTTTTTTTTCCCCCCTTTGGCTATTGAGGTGTAATTTGAATTTGCATTAGAAAATCAAATGTTTTCTCTGTGTTTAAATGTATTAAGTAATAGAACCTTTTGAAAATTTTTCCTGTAGAGACTATTTGCTGGTGGACAATCTGTACTGTTGGAGGTAATATGGAGGTAAAATTAGTCCATATATAATATGATCTGTGTTTCTTTTAATTTCTGCTCTTGTCAAGCTAACATGCTCTGAACAAACCAGTGCCTGGTGGCACTTTAAGTTCTTCGGAGACAGTAATGTCAGAAAAAAACAAGTATGTTTAATACTTAGCACCATAGGACTTGATACCAGCTAAGTACTTCTAGCAAAATGTCAACACAGGTAAGTTAATGAAACAAAAGAGATCTAGAAGCCTTTCTATTTGAACAGGCTCCATAAAAATACCATTTTTAACACTGCATACATCAGTTTTGAATACAACCTTTTTACTATTTTGAAGATCCTCCCTTTCCGCTTAAAGTTCATTCTTTCCATATTGTCCTGGCTTTGACCTGTTTTCTAATCCAGAGATCCCAAGACTACTGTTCCTGGGGTAATCTTTGATGTAGAGAGTGAGAACAGAATCACAGACTATGGACTGCTTTTGTTCGCAGATAGCTTTTTAAAATAGCTGTCTGTGAACTGTCTCACATTTGATGTACTCTGAAGTAATTGACAGTGTCACCTTTCGTTCATGCTGTGTGCCATTATATGTAGTTAATCTTTCAAAGATGTGTCAGAATATACATCTAGCAAAGAAGCATGGTAGAAGAGGAGGTATAAGCTATATATTGGACTTCTGTCCACCATGGTCCTTTTTAAGAAAACAGTTGATTGATTGACTTTTTCACTGTTCGGGAAGTAAACCAACATTTTAAAGCATGATGTAAAATATCAAATACTGTTTTAGGTATCTCGTTATTTTTATTTAGTAAAGGTGCTAAAATCCAGGAGATTTGTAAAGCTTTTGAAAATTAATCCTTTTGCTAGCAGTGCCTTCAAGGAATGCTGATGCATGTTGTTCCCTTAACAGAAAGGAAACTTGAAAAAACAAAAAATTGTTGCTGTGCTTACCTAAGGGGGCAATGGAGGAAGGGAAGCCTTTTAAGTCGTCTGGTCACCTGGGGCTGTTCCCTTCTCAACTTGGGCAACAGGTTACTAGTTTTGCTATGTCCAGAGAAGCAAGCAGAAGTTCCAAGTACAACAAACACTCTTCCAGAAAGCTTGTTTTTATTTTGCAACCTTTGAAGTGCAAAATTCTGTATTAAGGAAATTTTACGGTAGACAACTCTCTTGCTTTACTGTCAAGAATGTATGGGCTTTCCCTCCTCCCTTTTCTCCATGTGTTTTTTGAGCTCTGAGTTATTGCTGCTTGCCTTCTAACCAAGCCTTCCCTCAAAGTTTCTTGGTGCAACTGATGCTGTAGTTATCAAACCTGTCAGGTAACACTGACTGGAAGAAGCATTCTTGCTGGAGTTCCTCCCCATGCCAGCACGAGTGTTTGTGGAGCTCTGCAGTGAACCAGTCTGGTTGTCAGCTTCAGCTGATGGCTTTATTTCTGTTGAGTTAGTTTTTGTTTGGATCAGCTCTTTAGTGTGGTTTGCAACACACAGCCATGCTGTGCTTGCATGTGAGAAGGGGTGATACAGAAGTGAGAACAAGCAGCCTGTGGCAGGGAGAAGGGCAGCACCATTTCATTCACAAGCTGCGGTGACTTGAAGTAGTTCAAAGTGCACATCAAACTATGTCCTCTGTGCCATGTAGCAAACTTGTTTGGGTGATGTTGCAACATTGCTTTTCTAGATCCTTTCCCTTTATTATACACTTGTAGCTTGAGCACTGTTTCTTTTCAGAGCTTCTGGGATAATATTTGGAGAGTAAGCTCTGATTTCTAAACCCAAATGCAAATAGTAGCACAGCCCAGCTCCCAGAGTGAGTGTGAATTTGGTTTTGATGTGCAGTAGATTCAACTTCTGAGTCTCCAGAACTCCATGTGCATGCCTAGGTGAGAATTATTTCTAGAAGAACATTCTCATGAGGATTTGAATTTGTTACTCTTAGTGGGCTCAAAAGGTATGTCCAATGTTAGCCATTTTCATCCAGTCTGGGCTGTTGCTGGGAACTGGAATTTACCACCTTCTGCTGGTGTTTTCTGGTCTGGATGAAATGCCACAAGTTACTTTTGTTCTGGTTTCCAGTTTTGGATGTTGCTAAATGATAAAACTCCTGTCTGTTTTCAAACTACACAGAATCTTTTTAGTAACAGAGTAGGAAAAAGACACATATTCCTATTACCCCTTTTGTGCTGAAGTGTGCATGGGTGAATGTGGGGAAAATGTGTTAAGCAACTGGATGTTTTACTGTGGCTCCTGTTTTTGTACTGATAAAGGAAGTTGCCAGAAAGACAACATTGAAAATGCCACTTGTCTTTGAAATGTGCTCCAGGTTGTTGTTTGACACCCTTTCCAAAAGCAGTGAAACTTTGCAGTGGGGAGCAAGAATAGAGGAGAGAAAAAAACAACAATCCTATTTACTTAAAATTAGTTTTGCATCAACTTTGGCCAGTTGAGAAATACTTGCTGTAGTTGCAACTTGCTTTCTTGTTGGGCTGTCTGGAGCAACTCATTAATGTAATTTGTTTACAAAATACCCAAGTCACCCATTAGCCCTTGTCATTTATTATGTAGGGCTTGTGTGTAAAAACCACATCTAATGCACTGATACAGTTATTGGGAAATTCAGTTGAGCTGAGGAATTCTATATAATGTGTTGAAATATTTGGACCTATGCCCACCAATATTTTTTTTTTTAGATTCTTAGTAGAGATTGCTATCTTACTTATTAGTTTAGGAGGCCAGGAGAAAGAAGGATGCTGTCATTGTGAAATAAGAATGCCAGCACAAGTACCTAGCTGAGAAGAACTGATTAGGAATAACTCCCTGCTCAGACAAGTCTATGTTTTAATGAAAGTTTGATGTCCTTATTTTAAGGAAATTCCTACAATAGTGACGGTGATGGTTCACAGTCTGTGCTGTATTGAAATGTTCACATCAATAGCAAAGGAAATGATACCGTGAATGGTTTTCTCCCCAGGTGCTGAAGAAGTCTTGCTGCTCGCTAGAAGGACTGACTTGAGGAGGATTTCCCTGGACATGCCAGATTTCACTGACATTATTCTACAGATAGATAATATCAGACACGCAATTGCCATAGATTACGATCCTGTGGAAGGCTACATCTACTGGACTGATGATGATGTCCGGGCAATTCGTCGGGCCTACCTTGATGGCTCTGGAGCACAGACTCTGGTAACCACAGAAATCAACCATCCAGATGGTATTGCTGTAGATTGGGTTGCAAGGAACCTTTACTGGACTGATACTGGAACAGACCGCATTGAAGTGACCAGGCTGAATGGGACATCAAGAAAGATCCTTATCTCAGAAAACCTAGACGAACCGCGAGCAATAGTGCTCAATCCTGTAATGGGGTAAGTTTTGTGTTTATTGATAGCCTTGTGATGGGCTTTTTGATCCAGTTTATGGTGTCGTGAAACTGAAAATCTGCAAATTGCAAGATTATGTGTTTATTATTTGTCAAATATTCCAGAAATAAGTGGCTTTCCCTTGGTACATCCCTTTCATACTGTGTATATAAAAGGTGACTTCTAAATACAGTGTTCTTCAATGAACCTACACATTTTCTGTTTGCTTGAATTTTCTTTTCTCTGGATCTTCAGTGTTGTCATAACTGTGAAAGAATTGAACCACTGCCCATTTTCAGTAGTTAGTTCACTTAATGCTCAAACTTTGTATTGTTATCAGTGATTACAGTTTGAGTTGGCTTGTTTGCTGCAGTTGGGGAAGCAGAAAGTTAGTAAGTTCTTTCAAAAACAGGACAGATCTTGACACTTCTTTGTTGTGCATGTTACGTGCATTGACTGTTTCCCCTCTGTTTTTTTTTCAGTTACATGTATTGGACAGACTGGGGTGAAAGTCCTAAGATAGAGTGTGCTTATTTGGATGGCTCAGAAAGGCGAGTTCTGGTGAATACATCCCTAGGTTGGCCTAACGGCTTGGCACTGGATCTCGAAAGAGACAAGCTTTACTGGGGAGATGCAAAGACAGATAAAATTGAGGTGAGTAATTGAGCCATACTTGGATGCATTCTTAGAAAACAAATGCTGTTCTTATGTGGTGCTTTATGTCTTAGATACACTTATCCACTTTTTGAGGAGTCTGTTGTTTCATTACTATTAACATCATATTTAGCATAACAAGACATATTTGAGAAGAAAGGAAACACATTCATGTGGTTCATAAAACTTTTGCAAGAAATGTTATGTTTGTTATGTCTACATTGCTACAAGTGTAATTGCTTGAAATCTCAGATTTTACCTGAGGCTTTTGCAACAAATTGGGACACTCAGGTACGACCTCTTTAAAAAATGTTTTAACTTGTCTGTGGTGCTTGGAACTAGTATTTAAAATCGCTGCATGCGAAAGACTTGATGCAAGGTTCGTGTACAGGAAGAGGTGGATGTGGGGGCCCTAGAGACCCATATTTCAGGACCTTAATGATTATGTGGTGTCCAGATGCATGGACAAGGAGTAATTTTTAATGCACCACCTGCTTTGAAAGCAAAGTAGACATTCTGCCTCTGAATTTGAGGAGGGGAAGCGCTCCTCACAATGTTGTATAAACATTTATGACAATATCTAATATTTCTTAATTGTTGAAAGAATGTCTGATAGAACACCGTGCGATTCCCCCCTTACCTTTCAGCCTGCAGGATTGGGAACATCCCAGATGCCACCTTTTATAGGTGGGACTGTAGCTGTGCAATGCATTTCATGGGTTTAAGCAGTCTTCAGTCTGTCTCACTTCATTGTAAGGCAGTGAAGCCAGTGATACTGTTTGGTTTGGCATCAAAGGTTAGGAAAATCAGAGAAGCCAAAATAAGGCCTTTTTATTCCCTCAGTTTTTCTTTTGCTTATTATACTTACTTCTTGTGGTTCTCTTCTATATGCAAAAATAGAGAGAAGAGGGTGGTTCACTTGGTCTTGCAAACAGAAGATATTCTTTACATGAAGTGGATTGTGACATCTGTAGATATGTTGATTCCTGTATATTGTGCAACCGTTTTAAGTGTTTGCACAGAGTGAAATCTCCATGCTCCTAGCAACGGACTCCACATTTTAGATTCAAACAGGTGTAAATATTCTCATTTTAAGTCTTCCTCGCCCTTTTTTTTCTTTTTGCAGTTTTTCTCTTACACATGGAGTTTACTTTTGTTAGGTATCACAAACAGACTCCTGAGGCTGTATTTACAGATATCTGAATAGGACCATTTAGGATATGATGGGGAAAAAATTCATATGTTTGCCCGCAGTTCTGAACTGTGCTGTGAAGGGGTCTGTTGTGGTCTGTTCTGGACTGGCACAAGTTAAAATGGCACTGGCATGTTGTCAGTAGACATGGATGTTAGGTATCTAGTGCAGAACTTCCATTAGAAAACAAATTTCCAGTTTCCATCTTTGAAGAAGTGCCAGACACATTTGTATATTCTGCTCACTTGGGAAGGGGCTGTGTGACTTAACCAGTGGCTGACACAGCTCAAATACTGGCTAGTTTGAGATTGGTCTCCAGTGGAGGTTTTTTTCATTAATACTGCTCTACAAGATGAAAAAAGTGCTCCAAGGAAATATTTTAGAATAGAAGCAAATTGATCCAATGGATTGTATTTCATATTTATTGCTCATCTTACTATATTTGTAACCTAAATCCTGAAAAGATTCCTTTCCTGAAAGATTTCTGTGTTTGAGAGGTTCTGTCGATACCTACATTTTCTCAGTAAGCCATAGTTAGTGCTACTCTGCTGGCTCCAGTACATGTGAAACCTTACTGTATGGTGCATGAGGTGGGGCATTTCCACTTTTACTTGCTGTTGAAGTTATTCAGCATAAACTGATTCTCTCATGCATGTGTTCTGTTGCCAAGAGCATGCCATTTAAGTGGCTTGCCAATGCAGCTGGTGTCTCAGTGATTTGTTCTGTATGTGTATGTATGTCTGTTGCATCCACAGCTTGCCAGAAACAAAAACCAGCTGACTGCAGGTCAAGGATATATGTTTCTATTTTATACTATAGTTGACCTAGCTGAGTATTAGGATTTTTCTTTTTCTTGGTAAGCACCTAAAACTACCCTGAGGCATGTTACTGGATAAATTTAGTTTATGTTAACACCTAAAACCAGCATAGGTGGGATGGTAGATAGTAAGCTGTAACTCTATTTTGTAACTTGTTATGTAGCCAAAAAAAAAAAAAAAAAAAAAAAAAGTTGGTGAAGCTTTGGGTGGTTTATTCTGTTGCCACACTGCAAGGAGAGAGTTCTTGCTTCATCTGAAATGACATTCAGATTTACGCTGAGCACTCCTGAAGGAGGAAAACTTCAACCAACTGGAGGGCCACTGTGTGGTTCAGAAAGCGGCACTCTGCAGCTGCAATCTACTGCAGAAGGCAGAGGAGGAGGCATGTGGATTGCTGCATGCTGCCCTGTACATGCTGAAGATGGGAGGATGAAGAGCTGTTAGATGGTGACAGAGAGGGACAGTGGCTGGGCCAGTATATTGCTCTGCATTGGAGTAGTTGACTGTTAAGGCACATCCTCTACTCCTTTTGCCTTCTTTCCAGAGCAGTTAGTTTCTCTTGGGCTGTTGCAAGTGCTGTTACTTGACAGTTTTCTCATCTAAAAACTGCAGTCCCAGATTTCTGAAGCAACTGGAAATTTTCCAGAGACCAAAGAGCTGCAAAAGGCGTAAGGTGAAGGAGAAAGTTCCCATCTCCACTGTTTTCATTTATCCATCTCCTTTCACCTGCCTCAAAATGTCCCAGCTCACTGTGTAGAAATTGCAAAATAGAATATACTGAAACCATTATCTCTAATATTGTGCAGAGAGCATGGTTGGACTTAAAGCCTGTTGGGGAGGAAGTAGTTTTAAGACTGATGCCCAATAATGTAAAAAGTGCATTATGTTGGCTTTTCTGTGGCTTTCTGATGAATTGCTTGTAGATGAGAGTTGTTTTGATCACATAGCATTCCTTCAATGGCTTTCCAAAAGGAAAAAAAGAAGAGTAGATATAACTTCTACATATTTGTATGTATCTCTACTTGGTATTCTGCTTTGGTTTCTGGTATTTTCGATCTGCAGGGAGCCATCTTATTCTCCTTGGGAAGGCCTGTTCATATACGAAGTTCTTAGTGACTGAACTTTGTACAGCTTGGAAATTTGATAAGCTGAAGACATCTCCTGTTTTTTCTGGACCTTGGATTTGAAATGCACTGTAAATGTCTCCGGTTTGGGTTTGCTTGTTTGTTTGGTTTTTTTGTGGGATTGTTTTGTTTGGTTTTGGTAACACATTTTGACATTACTTGTGGGTCCACTGTTCCAAAATTAGAAAAGGAACAGTGCAGAGCTGTTGAGGGTCCCAAGCACCATACTATACCAGGAGAGTGTGTTCTTATTTGTGTGTAAAACGACACAGAGTGAAAACAGGTTTACCCTTTTCTGGCAAAAACCCTTTCCTAATCTTCCCATCTGCAGCATTCAGTTGCAACACAAAGGGCCCAGTCACTTCGCAAGCAGTTTGCATCCTGAAGAAACCATTTGTCAAGGCTTGTCAAAATTTTGCATGACAGGAGCCTATGGGGCTTTCACTGCAAATTTGGCACCCTGTGGTAACATTGTCCCAGCTTTTAATTTTTTTTTTTTTTAATTAGCTTGGCAAAGTGTACAGTAAGGCAAAATATATAGCAGAGTTTTGTCTGTCGAAATAATGTATTTGTCCGTACAGCTTCAGCTATGAGTAAGGTCCATGGATTAATCTCACTGAACTCTGGATTTTACTGACAGAGAAAAGGTACTTTCCAGGAACAAACAGCAGCTTAATAAGGATTACAGGTTTCCAGCAGAGAAAGAAGCAAAGACCCAGTGGCATCCACGTGTAGAGTTTCCTAATTCTCCTTAAAAACAATTTTGTGGTTAGCCAGGTTTTCCCATGTGTTATTTCTTCAGCATTTGCTTAAAGAGCCTAAGGTATCATTCTATAATGAACAATTACTGAATTCTCAGGTGCCTGTTATTATGTATGCATTTTACTTAAGTTTGTGCAATATTCTTGGAATAAATGTTATGGAGACTATCCCTTCTGGCAACTTACCCTCGTGCTCTCCCCCTTCCCCTCTATTGACAGATGTCCTTCATTTGTCTTTGTAGAAGACTCATAAATATGTACAGTAGTTCTTTGCAAGTTTGTAGGGTGTTTAAGTCTAAAGTGTAAGTCAGCACCAGATGATAATCCTGGAGTTCACTGAAAAAATTTTCCAAGATGTGGTTATGCAGGCTGTCCTTGAAATTTAAAGAAACAGTCTATATAATTAGTTTGTTGTTGATTACATTCTATATAAATAGTGTAAAATGGCATTTGGAACAATTTGCTATTTAAATGGGAGTAGGCTTTGCAGAAGTCAGTTTTACTGGGGATAAAAATGAACAACTAAACTAATTTGAGGCTGCTTTTTCGAAACAAGTCCAAGTGTAATTCACAGATTACACTTTGTTTTCCAGTCATTTGACCTAAAAATGCAATATTTAATTTACACATGAGTCTTTTCTCATAACCAATACATTTTTGTGTGTGTGTCATTTTTTGCATTGGCATTTTTCACTGAAGGATTAAAAAGACTATGTAGTGTAATAAACTACTTGGGAGATATTCTGGACTGATTTATGGAAACAGGACGATCTCATAGAGAGATCAACTAATTTAAACTTATCACCACATGCTAATGAGGTATAAGATATCTGCTTGATCTAAAGAATAGATATTATGATGTAGACAGTTGCAGTAATAAAATCACTTAAATTGATGATAGTGAGGGAGCCTTAATTTCAGTGGTTTTTTTGAAACTGCTCAGTGACATTTGATTCAATTTAGAACTGTGGCAGAGAAATGTCAGCTAATTGTTAGAAAGAAGTTATTAATTGAAGCTTGTACTATGGTACTTAGATGAAGCATATCTACACTATATCCTATACTTTTTCCTTCTTTCCTTCCATTTGTAAACTATATCCTTTGT